CTTCGTACAAGCGCTATTTCAAACACTTTCAAAAACAGAACTACGTGACTTAGTCTGAAAAAATCAGGACTGAACATATGCACCAATGGCTGGTCAACAGATTTACATCTAATAGATCTGTACTTATTCATGCCTCCAGTATAGATTCTTTCCAGAACCATAAGAATTCTTTCCATATCCATAAGAAGGTCAAACCACCTAGTGTAGAGAGAAGATATGTACCAGGAGAGATGTTGTTAACACCTGTACTCTTCCAGATTTTCTTTTTTTATTTTTTTTTATCCTTACCTTACTTTCACAGATTCATATTCAATCAAATTGCTAATAAAAAAAAAAAGGAAGATAAAAAGCAGAACCTATTAATAATAAAACCACTGGTCCTTATTCAGCTGAATCCTAGTTAGACCAGATTTTAATTATAAGATAGACTACTAGTCACACACTTCTAATATTAAGAACACAAAAGCTGCCAGATTTAATATATTGAAATCAAGAGCACTAAAAATCACACATACATAGCTTTGCATCAGCACTAGAAAGTCTAGCAGTGATTTATAATGGAGAAAATAGAAAGAGCTTTGCACATTCCACTTGCATGGGCACTTGTGCCCCTTTTTAGGACACTGGGCAGCCAAGTACCTGGACACACAGAAGTATCCTCAGCTGCTATGAAAATTATGGAAAAATATTCATATATTCCACAGGATTTGAGTAATACAGAATAACCCTTAAAATATTGCATGTCAGAACCTTTACAGAAAATTCTGCTGCCAATCTTTCATTAATCTGTGGGACACTTAAATAATGTAATACTTTTTGTCTTTACTCCCTGGAATACAATTAAAAAACTTTTGGATTCTTTCATTATCACATACACCAGGAAAGAATCAAAAGAAAAGTCTCAATTGGAAAAAAAAAAAAAAAAAAAGCTTTTAGTAAATACTTACATACAGGAGCCTGAATCTGTATTACGACTCGTAAGATGAGGAGGTAAGTGACAATAAGCTCCAGAAGACCCGGCCATGCTGAGCAGGAAGCTACTCAAAGCTCACACACACAATGTGGAGCTGCCTCTGGTCTTCCTAAGAAATGCTGAACCTTGCAGTACGTCCTTACTCACGGCTGCATGAATACACTTCTCCTCCCCTGGGACATGCCATCTGAAACGCTCACCTAAATGCAGACATTTCTGTCCATTCTTTGAAGGACACTGTTTTCTTTTAAAACATATCAGGAAATGGGGTCATGCTCCCTTTTATACAATAGGCTAATGGCTTGAACACTTGTTCAGGAAACAGGAAAACTAGGCTCCTTTCCTTGCTCTGTCAGAGAGGATTCAAGCCCACTTCTTCTACCCCTCTGGACAACGTCCTAACGACTTAGCTATAGGCTGATATGGGGAAGATGGTGCTCTCTAGCCTTCCTGTTGAAGGGGTCCCCCTCACTCCTCATGCAATAATTCAAACATAGAGAAAAGACTCCTGCCTATTGGCTAGACCTTTCCATATGTTACGTCAAAGACTCATTAGACCAGACAGAAGCAGCCTTAGTCGTACAGCAGAAGAGCAATGCTTCCCAGAATCATGGCTCTTATCTGAGTCATCCAAATTTTACTTTAAGTAAAATTAGTCTTTGTTTAGAGCTGGCCTGAACTCCAAAATCCTAGGCACTTCTGCAAAGTCATGTTTAGGCTAAAATGTCCAGCAAGACAAAACTGAGAGATTGCCCAGTTAGCCAAAACTGAAGAAAAACTAATGAATGGCCATTGCTCTCTCCTAAATCTCATTCCAACAACAGCCTCAAAGCTGATAACACCTTCTGAGTGAATTCAGCAACGTGCTAGCAAATGTTTTCTAATCTCCAATACCGGAAAGAAAGTTAATCTTCAGAAACTGCTCAGTGAATTTACAAATCCTGTGGAATTTATTATAACTCAAAGAACTAGACACATCTGAGAAAGAAAATGGGAACACAGAATACAAGCAGATATTTCCAAACTATGTTGCATCTTCAAAGAACACACAGATTAAATATTCTAATCAAGAAGAAATCTACACAGTGGATTTACACAGTAGGTCAGGAAGCTTGAATTATTTACACCATTCCTAACCAAATCCACTTATGTGCTAAAAAAACATGATTATAGCATTCACTGTACCTGGATATGAAGCCGAACATGTATCCTTAATTTTCTGCTGATTGCTGTATAATAAAAATTTAGCTTTATAGTTTAAGGATTTTTTTTTTAAGTTTTCTAGGACAGACATTACTTGAGTGGCATGACTCAAACTATGTCTCATCACTTGCATCCAAGCAAAGGGACTGCATTTCTATCTAAGAGTAGACACTGGATTTTTCTGCATTCTGACATTTTTGTTGTTGTTGTTTGTTCTTGTTTTTGTTATGATTGCAAAAACTGGGGGTCAACAGCACATCTCATTGGTGTAAATCATGATATACCATGATCTCCAGCTAACCACCATGAGCCACATCAAAATCACTGATCTTCATCCTCTGGCCTCTGGCCCCAGCTCCCTGGCCTGACATAGTAAATCTGTCAATAACTTGCACCCTGGCTGCAACAGAACAGTTTGTTAAGTGCAATGAGATCAATAAATCAGACTTAATCCCAGTCCACTACTATTTCCAGTTAATTACAAAGGGATTATTTGCCTTTAGCCCAGCATCTAACCAAGATAATGCTGTTTAGACAAACACCAGTGCTTCCAGTTCAGCTGCTTCTTACGGAGGACTCTGACTGAACCAATTTCAGCGTGAGCTTTAATCAATAAAACGCTTCTTTCCGGCAGGAGACGCCAGTCCTTCAGATGCCTGAGAAAAATCCCCTCCAACAGGGACGTAGTAGCAGTATAAACATGTGTGGGTGCAAAGGGGAATTTCAGATGTTCTTTGACTATGTTTATGAATCTCACAAGGCTGCTCTGTATCAGGAGTGGGGGAGGAGAAACCATAAAAATATTAATCAGTTACTTATCTTCTGACATATTCTGGATCAACATCTGCTGCATGTGCAAGTGATGAAGTATGGCATTTGGCACAAAAGCTTATTTAATCTTCTCTTCCCAAATCAAGCAGGGAAAATTAGCACTCTTAAAAATTAAGTTTCCAGATCCGATTTTTTTCTTTAAAATAAATTGCCAACATTGTATAGGCTGTCTGTTCTATTCTGGAAAATGTTTTTGGTCTGAGAAAAGACTGATCTTAAGTAGATTATCTATGGGCTGTTTCCTATCGCTTTTTGTCTTCCCTGCAGTATCTTACTGCCAGGGCTTAGTAGACAAGTATAGTCTAGTTTCAGCTGTTTTATTTCTACTTCTATCAGTTCAAACTGAGATAGCTCACACATCTGTTTTATTTCTGAAAACACTGCATAGGAAAAGTGTCCAGCTCCTTCTAATCAAGCATAAACTTTCCTATAAATAACTAAGGACCTAACGAAACAATTGTTTGGAGGAAATGAAAGTGTGTTTAGAAACTCAAATTCCTCTATACTGTATGCCTGAGCTGTTCCAGTTTGAATGTCTTCCTGACAGCATGGATCAGTTGCTCTAAGATGCTGTCCCCGGAGTCAGCAAACTCAAACTATAGCAGGAAATCCAGGTATTAACATCATACTATGTGCTAATTATAAACCATCATTTCACATTCTGACATTATTCATTTCCAACCTCTTTTAACTAAATCACGTATTTGCTTTCTAATCACAGCATGACAGGAGAGGGTGTCTGACATAAGACAGTGAAGTGATCTTTTAATAAGACAGCAGTTCAAAGACTGTAGCTTTTAGGCATAATAACAATCTTAAGTTTGATTTGCTGTTCCACAAAGAAGTTGTAGAGTTTCTGAAAGAAGGGGAAAAGTTAAATCACTTCAAAAGCTTAAAGTTCCTGACTTGTGTTTCTGTTTCTGCTTTTTAATTAAAATTAGGTATTAGCTATTTTAACTTCTTTTGTGAAAATTCTCTCTAATAGCTAAAGCTTCTGCAAGTATTGTTAAAAACTTTCCACTTTCTGCCTTTTTTTATAAACATACCTTAGAGTTTTGTCTGGTCATTTCTACCAGGACAGGCATCATGTCCTATGCAAACACGTTCTTGAAACTGGACAGACATCTGAACTCATTTTGCATGCAACCTTTGTTGCTGATTTTTTTTAATTCAAAGCTAATTGCTAAGAAACTAATGCAGACTCCATGCAAAGGCTTTGAATCTACTTCCTTACAGTAAAACCATTTTCTTTTTAATGGCAGTATATGAAATGTAGTTTCTTCAGCACTATATGAGAAAATGGCTGGGGCAATAGCTTTTTTCTTTACAGTCTCACTAATATGAAGTAGCAGTGTCACTGTTACTTTTAAAATTTCTTAAATATCCATTGTGTATCCTGTTTTTCTGGCACTAGACAACTTCAGAGTTGCCAGGACTTGTAATTTATTTTATCTTAATAAAGAATCAATATGCCAAATCTCAGCTCCCATCAGCTGAATACTTAGGGTTATATTTTTAATTTCCAGCTGCAGTCTTTTGTCTATCTGGTTGTTATTTCTCATTGTCATTTTCTCTTTTCTTTCGATGATAGAAAATCCTTCCTTCAGAAGTAGCCTGTTTGTTGTATAAGGCCTTTTACTATTGATTACCACTGTGATTATACAGAGAAATATCACTGATCAAAAAGCCAAGTACTACTCTTCTGCACAAGATACTACGTAGAACTCCAGATATCCCGATATACATATAATATATATACATTTGGGTATGTGTGTGTGTGTATGTATATGTATATATATTTAACGACTTCAGTAGTACACAGTCAGCAGCAAGCTGGCAAAATACTGGCTAAAAGACACCAAAAGAGTTCTTAAGGTGTAAGCAGGTTATATTCTGCATTTTCATCGTGTATGTAGGAGATGCTCTGTAAGTAAGCAACTTGGCAGCTGAGAGAGAACGTGGCAGAAGCAGGGAGATGGGGGAAAATACAAACCTGCACATCATAAGTCCCATTTAATAAGACGGGCCTCTGGGAATTGATGTCCTGCAGCACCCCTGAAAGCACAGTGCGGTTGACTTTCTGGAAGTCTTTGGAGTGGCTGAATTGCACCATGTTGTGGAGAGCCAAAATTTTAGTGTCGAGCTCAGCATCCTGCCTGGTGCGGTTGTGCAGTCCTAGGTGGTACTTGCGGAAGTGTTTGATGAGATCTGTGGGGTCATTCCCGTAGTAACCATATCCACAGATGTTGCATTTGAAGTCCTGAAGCTCTGGAGACAGAGGCGCCATATCTGGGTTATCATTTACCAACAAATCTGCTTTTGATTTGTTCAGCCTTAAACCCCCATCTGAAGGCACTTGTGGGTTTTTTGAGGCCATGGGGACCGGGCTTGAGCCTTGGCCATCAGTTTGACCACTTTGCACTTGCACTGTTTCATCTGAAGCTTTTGGCGACATCTGATGCTCCTCATTTGTCTCCGCTGCATCTCCTGATGGGGTACAGATCACATCTTGGGTGTCATCTGCATCTGATTTTTGAGGAGACTTCAAAGGCTCACAGATTCCCCCAACAGCTGGAGATGAGAAAGCCAGCATATTTCTGTCTGTCACCTCATCATGAGGGAAGGATGGAACATTTCCTCCCTTATTGTGGCTTTCATAATTGAAGCCAGCCTTTTCACTCAGCACTGAGCTTTTCAAGTCCTTTTTAATGCTGGGAGATGGCTCTTGGACATGCGTGCAAAGTTCCTCCTTGTTATTTAACTCTGCCGCATCACCCTGGTCAGTGTTTTCTTGCATCTGATCTGCAGGAAATTCTTTTTTCCTTCCAGACTCTTCACTTTCAGTACCTGTAGACTCAAGGGTCTGTACCTCACCTTCACTAGCAACGTTTCTTAGAGGGGGGTTCTTTTTCCGGACCATATCTACCATAAAAAAACAAAGAAAGAAAAGAAAGAAAAGAAGCAAAAAAAATCCCTATAGAATTATTCAACATAATGTAACATTATAAGCCTCCCACTTTCTAAAGCATTCTGAACTGTATACAGACATAAAACTTTTGAGACTATTTTCATCATTTTTTCAGTTATCTATGCAGAAAATGGGAACTTTACAAAAAAAAAGTCACACTGAGACTGACCGCAATGAAAGGAGAACTGTAAAGCCTATGAAAACACTTCCATCAGAGTAAGTGCATCACAGGTTTCATTATCTATCTTTTCTGAAAATAATGGTCAATTAATGGCAGATAATTAAAACTAAATGCTTCATTTTAAAACATTAAGGGGAAAATAAACTTTTCACTCTAATATTTGTATACTGCACAAATACATGCAATGCAGCTTGGCAGAAACACACCTAAAAAGGCACAGTCAGGAGCACTTAAACAAGTTATTAAGAAGGAAACAGATTTAGCAGACTTGGAGGCTTTAGACAAAGTAACTCTCCTAAGCAGGTATCAGTTTCTCCACAGTAAAAGCTCCCCCTCCTACTGCCCATAAACTTCAAACAGGATTATACGGAAACTCTAGAGTCCGGCCCCACAGTCCATTATTCATATAATTAGTTCTATTTGCCAAACGAAGAGAAACTATATTCAGTAACCTGTTGCCAATAAAATTTTACAGGCCTGGATCCAGACATTTGACATTGCAGTGTTGCAGAGCAGGGATCTACCCGGAAAACACCTGGAATCCACATGGAGCTGAAGCGCTCAGCCCTCCCCTGCTCAGTCCTCACTGCAGCGAGCGCCACGGCTGCTAGATTTGCAGGTACACTTTTGGCATCCATGTAAGAAAGCTTGGACAGGACAGCATTAAGGTCAGACAGAAAGAAGCAGCCTGCCACTGTGGGCTTAGCTAAACAGGGGATCTTATGGAGGATAAATAATCAGAACACACAAGGCAGAAAGCTAAATCCTGACTCACTAGCTCTCTTCAACAGCATTATTGGAAGAAAAGCATGAAAGCTCCCTGCACTCTCTACTTGCATGTTCAGGGTCTGATCTCCTCATCAGCTTTGATCCGCTTGTGTTCACATGCTGGCTATGGGCAGAAGGCAGATGTGCTACAACTTTCTCTATGCTCTTATCTTTGCCAACGCTGCGCACAGTGAGGGATGCTTCCCTTGGCCAAGGCGCGTGTGGCCTGGTGGCAGCAGACGGCAGGACCAGACACGGGAGCGAGCGGCAGAGCGCAGGCCGAGCCTCCCTTCACAGGCCGGCCATGGCCGGGCGCGCGGACACGCCGGATGTGGCTCTGCGAAGGCAGGACCACCTGGCGACCCGAGAGCCGCACGGGCGCGCTCCAAACGCTGCTACAGCCAGGCCTTGAAAAGCTGAGAATGACCTTCTCAAAACCATACATTGAGAAGTACGGCCGGGGACGGAGGTTAAAAATAAAAGAACTGGAGTCTGTACATCCTCTTATTTACATCTGCTCCACATGAAAGGGCACTGTATGCTATGTTGATAGAAACAGACAACTTCTTAGGGGAAGTGTTCAACTGGTGTCTTGGGCTGGCTCTGTTGTCTTTGTGGTTGAGCTGATCCACAGGAAGCATCGTCTACAGCGAGGCTGCTTTCACACAGAATGCCAGCTCAAATTACATAAATTTTGACACTCTGTGTGGTCTTAATAGGTTTCTTAAATGCCTACTGCGATTCCTTATTGCAGAAGGCATACATGCTTGGGAACCAAGTGCCTTCTCCTCTTTAATGTCAATCACACCTACCAGTATGCACTGAATTTTACTTTTTTTTTCCCCAATAACTCCTGAAACTTTAAGTCACTCAGAACTAAGAGAAAAGAAGGATTTCCTCTTGCAATAGGAGAACTATTCAGTACAAACTCAGCCTAATAAAAGAACATACGCAAGTATATTATTCAAGATATATAGATATAAATATTGTATCTATATACAGGTATGCATAGATATTATTGTCCTCAGCCTCTTAACAATACTGTTTCTCTGTGAGGTTTCAGGAATATTCCTGGTTACAAACTAAAAATACTAGTGAGCATCTCTGGTAGGTGTTCACCTAAGTCTGTATTTTTCTTCTTGGAACTTGGTTACATGTCCCAAACCATACAATTCTTGGCAGTTAGAAGATAGAGAAAGGAGGCCTGACTGCATAGCGAAGGAAAAATCAGAAATCAGGAAAGGAAGCATCACGGCTGTCTTCAGTCAGAATTAAACAAGACTATATGCAATGTTTTAAAATGTTTTTGTTACAGATTTTTTTTGCAGATAAAGGAAGTTTAGAGAATTTGCTATCTTCATGGCAACTGATGGAAGAGAGTTAGAAAAAAAAATCCCTACAAAGCAAAGCAAAGAAAATTGAGGACTGTATACAGTTCAACTAGACAGTATTCCAGATCTAGATACTTCAGTTCAAGTTCTCCTGACATGTCTGTGGGTCGATATGATAACAGAAGAAAAATCTCATATCTGCCTAGTGGAGAGGAAAGAAGATAACATTCGTTTAAATGCCAAAACTTTCTTAAGTTGAATTTAAAAGTATCTTCATTCCTTTTTGCTCTATTTTTTGAAAAATCATCTGTCATTTATTTGCTTGATATCCACTAAAGGGGACAGTAAGAAAAGACACAGCTTTCTTTTTTCCACTGGAATTCCACTATCATCATTTTTCAGAGACATATTATGTAAATAAAACTGCATTTGCAATACTGCTAAATCGAAGAAACCATCCCCTCACAAGTCGTAAGTTAGATATCGAAAGAATATAGCCACTCTGAAATTATTATCTCTATGACAAATAACAGATTGCACAATGTTTTATTGTGTGCCAAGAACGTTTTCAGTTAACAATTTCACTTGAAAAAATGGATCACATACTTGTAAAATCATACCCAGCATTGACTTCATAAGGCATGTGGCTTTAGAGTGCTTTTTACAATTATTAATTCTATTAGTCAACTAGCAGGCGGGCTAATGCAATTGTCTTAGAAGATGCACGGAAGACACAGAAGACATTCTGAGAGCTGATCTGTATATCTGCAAAACAAAACAAAAAAAAAGGTTTTCCTTCCTAAATTATGCATTCACAATATGCGTTTTTTTTTTAATTAAAAACATATTATGCCTATTTTACATGCATCTATTGGGCACTACACAAAGAATGGTGACCACTGTTCTCTGCTTCTGCCAAGGACCAATGTTACCCCCTTCTTCTCTGCGGACACGTGCACACACACATACACACACACACACACACATACATACAGGAAAAAACAGAAAATATCTATCTCAGATGTGAAGTTCACAAAAAAAAAAGTAGTTCAGAGCAAGTTTAAAATGAGTGTTGAATCCTAGCTAGATACAAGCTGTAGGGAGAAAAAAAGTGCCTTAAAAATCCACACATCTTACCAGGTATTGTGCGATGTATGGAACTGAGCTGGCCTAAGGGCCTAAGGGATAACAACATACAAGCAACTGGTTCAAATCCTGACTCTGCATTGGAAAGTTATCATCTGTTGGCTGCCGTGAGCCCCCCTTGAAGTGAGTGGAGTGGTATTAGTGCAGTTGTTAGCAGGCAAAATATCCACATCTCCAAAATGCCACCACAGTGACAAGCAAGTTTGTCGGCTGTTTGGCAAAGACACCAAGGCTAAACAGATGCCAGGACTACACTACCTCTTCTTCACTGGAAACAGGGATCTTTTCAAAAGAGCACAAACGAAGGCTGATGCGGATGAAAAGACTTCCTGAGGCCAGGGAATGTCAGAGAAGGCCCCAGCAAAAGGCAGGCTGCAGAACTCATCCTTGGTTTCTACAATCCAGGGGTTTTAGTATGTTATTTGCATTAGGTTGCCATTACCTTTAAAACCCGTGGGTTAGTTTTACCTGATAGGATCACCCTCAAGTATTTTAATGTGTAAATAATAATGGTAGCTGCACACCACTGCCCTCAAAACCAGACAAGGCAACTCAGCACGATCTGCCTGCCTGAAGGACACATCTCCTCTGCCCAACAGCTGCCACCTCAGTGGATGGGCAAGGCGGAAGCGTCTCCTAAAATCAGTTTATCACTCAAGGATAAGGAATTACCACATTACTAGTCCCGTGCTTCTCTTACAAAATAGAGAGGAAAGACAAATCCCGACCAGCAGTGGTTTCTCACGCCTAATTAGCTGCTGATCAGCAGCTCTCACAATGGGTCACTGTTGCCACTCATTATTTTTATTGAAAGTGATGATTTGTCACCCAAGCCTATTGCAACAATATGCTCGCTGCCTTGCACTTGCGCAGCAGGTTTAGGCCAGGTCTTAGTCATGGGCTTTTTTTAACAGAATAATACATTTAGAAAGAGGTCTGAATTTTGTGATGCGCCACTGGCTAATGCTTGCACAAGTAGATGCACAAGAAAGATGACAAACACGGAGCCACAGGTCCCTGAACGCTGTCATGTTATCCATCAATACGCTGCAGCAACAAGACATAAATGAACATATACAGTTATGTTCAACATGCTCAAGTAGGACCTCTTTGTTAAGGGATAGTAAAATTAATACTTTTACACTCTTATATATTACACACCCGCACACAAACATATCGTGCACATACTGCGCTTAAACATCAATCATTTTTGCCAAAATAATGCAGCAAAAAAAATCATTAACTCTCAGTGTCTCAGCTTAATATATGTCTAATACTTACCTATCTCACAGGAGTTTTGTGAGGCTTAATTAATTAGTGACTGTAAAGCACTTTGTGATCCTCTAATGAAAGGTGCTACATAGCACAAAGTATTATTAAAATCATTAGGACCACAAAAAAGCCCTGTGGAATTCCAGCCTACACTGTCTGTTGGGGTTGGGAGTGATCTTATTATTAAAAGGAGACCATCAGACTAATTTTCATAATTTTTTCCAAGATCTTTTTTTTTCCCCTTTACTGTTGAGATACCACGTTAGAAGCTAAAAATTTAATCTTATCATCTTAATAACCTACACTCATGTAGTTTGTTACTGCAGGGCTAGAGAAGAGAACAGGGCTTTTGGCACTCATTTGGCTTTCCCTTTTAAGAAAAAAAAAGAAATTGAGAGACATATTTTGACACCTTCCCACACTCCACCCCATCAGGACAGCTGATCATGTGAGATCTCAGGATACTCACTATAGCCGCCTGGGAAAATACGGCTGTGGTTTTAATTTCTCTCTCGTCCTTTTTTTCTTTTTCTTTCACAGCAAAAAAACAAGACACAAAACAAAACCCATCTTATTACACATAAATGTGCTACAAAGACTGTCTGCTGTACTTTAGACAAAAAAATCTTTTAAGTGTCCAAAGTGTCTGGCTCTCTCCAAGTGTATAAAGTCCTACGCGATCTGAAGTCTTCCTCCCTACATTTTCCCCACGCTCCACTTACGCAATTGTAAAGCAGCTATAAGGCTCTAAAGCTACAGAGTTCCTGTCTTGAGAGGGCAGTTTTCTGGTAAACTATTTTTAGGGAGGGCTCCTTCCCCTCAGCAGCGCCCAGCCCTCCGTGTTGGGCTCTATTGACAGGCCCTGATCTGCTGGGCGCACAACAAGGAAGTCAACAAGCTCTTCAGGATAGCTCAAAGTGCAAAGCCTGGTATGTTTCCCAATTTAAGTTTTTCTCAAAATAATAATAAAAAATATATATGTAAGTATATCGAGTATTGCAGATGAAATTGCCCTGTGCTGCCCTCACTGGGAATTTCCAATTTTGCTCCCAGCTTCACTTTAGACACAAGCCACCCACGACAAAGAATAGAGCAGTATAGGGTAGCTAGAGCTCCCCAACTCCTTAGTGAAGCTTTAACGATAACTAACAAAAAATAAATGTATATCGATTCCAGGAGCCACCCTCCTTGGCCAAGACACGATACTAGCAGCCCTCACAGGCTGCACCGCTTCCACAGCTTTGCCTTATGGTTCTCAGACAAGCGTGGCTGAAAACAGCTGACAAAAGGTCTTCACCTTTTTGTGCTGGGCAGCAAGGGGAACACTAGCCACTCTTCTGTGAGGAAAACAATAACCCCTAAACGAAGGGAGGGCAGAAAAACCTTAATTACAAGCAACTTACTCCTCAGCAAGACAGCTTCCTCCCTCTTTGCAACATTTTCTTCTGACGCACCATGCAAGAAGGCTGTAAAACAAGTGATGTCACAGCCCCAAGAAAACCAGCAGGCTAAAACCAAAGCCCTTTTGAAGTTCTACACTTTTTTCCTACAAACCATAAAGCTGCATGCACAGTCTTTCCCACATGTGATGGCTTAGAGCGGGGCAGGCCTCCTCTCATCAGTAAAATTTGCCAGGATCAGACATTTTGTTTGGTAAACATGTATCTAGTTGATATTCCACCATCCTGCTCCACTGAAATTATGTTAGCTTAATCAATTTAGAAAAAATAAGGAAATATCCTTATACATCTTACTGGTAAAATAGCACTGAAGCAAAATGATGTTGTTTTCGCTCCCTTCTCAATTTTCAGACTCTCCAGTTCAGTCACTGATCACCAATTACCAAAAGCTTTCTGCATTTTTTTTCATTAAAGCTTACAACAAAGAGACACGTAAAAAAAAAGCTGAATTCAGTCATGCCCATTCCTATTTAAATTTATTTTCTGAACACTGACCACTCTCAATGTTCAGAAATGTCACTCAGTGTCACTTTGGACATCTCAAATCCTGTCCAGACATAAAAAGTCATTACTCTCAAACCACTCTCAGCAAATTAATATTTTATTAATTCACCTTAAATTATTTCAAAACTATCCTTTCTATTACCATATGCTTCAGAGCACAGCACATAGTAGTCACATAACCACTGGTATAAATCTAACCCCCCTCTATGGGATAAAATAGACAACTTGGCCATTTCAGAGAGTTTAGGAGTGGTGTTTCAAAACAGATTGCTTGAACCTCTTTACAGGCAGTTATTTCATTTTAAGCTCACTGCCTGGGTAATCTTGCAGACGCTTTCAGAAGAAACAGAAGTCAAAAGATGATTTGCCTGGAAAGACCACATGGGATGGAGCGTTATGCTGCCTCCCAACCAAAATCAGAGATCAAAACTGCTTCGTTTGTTAAGGGTGCTCCAAAATGCTACTCTGCACTTATTATGGGCTTGTTACAGAGGATTTCCTCCTACCCCTAGCAGACCATGGCCATCCAGTCCTACAGCAAGGGTGCCTAAGAAGGCAAAGATTGTTTTGCCATGGCTTCCAATCCAGCATTTAAAAATACTCTATAAAATAACAACCTAATAAACCTCAAATAACCTGGTGAAACAGGAAAGTTATTGTTACTGCCATTTTACAGATGAATAAAAAGATCTACAGAGAGATGCAAAAATATGTTCAAGGTTACACACAGGCTAGGTTCTTAGCAAGAGACTGAGTCTGGTTTCTCTCGACTTCCAGGGCCATTTCCCTCTCCTGTATGTATTTCAGTGGAGAGAACATCAGCCTAGTGCTTGGCAAAAGGCCAAGATCCTGTAATCTAATAAGGTACGGAAAGAGCACCTTGTGCAAAAGTCTAAATGCTCCAATTTATCATGACAGTTATGAGATAAGCTGACATTTTATTTGTATGTAAATTAGTCTCCAAAATAACATAAAAAGGCCACACTTTCACAGAGTATTCTGCCTTTGCTTCTCTGCCCTGCATCTAAATCTAGCTTTGTGTATTAAAGTTAGTTTAATTTTTACGTATTGATGCTGCTTTGCATGCTCCCCAATCTGTTGTTACTGTGCTGCAGAGAGACTCCAAACTGATTTGCTTACTGCAATCAAATAACTCACTTACGCCAGTGCTGTCACCGCCTAAGAGAGACACTGCCTCACCATCCTCACTGAATTTTCTGGTTCTTCTATGAATTTGGTGTGGCTCGACTGTGCAGGGTTCTACAGCACTCTGCATTAGACCAGGCCAGAGGTCCATTTAGCCTTTTATTCTGGCCTGGATAATGGCCAACACCAGATGCTTCAAAGAAGGTTCAACAGCTTCTGGACA